CCCCCTCTTTGTTGCCGCCACCCCCGCGTGTTTCGCCAGAGTTGTTTTTACTCTCTTTTTTCGCTCTCAATCACAGAACATTGCATTTGTTTTCCTCCTCCTCCCCTATTGTCCTTTTTATGTGTTCAGGTTCCCCAAATAGCTGCATTTATCGCTCGCAACCCAGTGAATCATGTATCAAAATTTGTTATGTCTAACCACTGTTGTCTGCCCTCGTCCATCCCCATCCAGTTTGCCACTGCTGTCCCCTGTTTTTTTTGGTTTTTCTATTTTATGCCGAGTATTTGTGTCAACTTTGGGGTTTTTTGCATTTTTCTCGCTACTCGGCTGATGTCTACATTTACTGGGTGTTTTTGGGGTAGGTTTTTGTAATTAACCTCTCTTTTTTCTAACTTTGTATTCGACCTGAATCTTTGCACCCTACCTTGTTTACACCGAGCACGGCCTACTTCCATTGGCCCTTTTAAGATAGCGCTTTTAATGTTCTAATTATCAAAGAAAAAACCTCTTTAACTGATTGTTTTCCCGCTTGCGTTGGTGAATTCGCCGAGGTCGGCCGTTGAAATCTTCATCAGGATCAACTGTGAGGGTTCGTCACCGGCTCTGGTTATCACTCGTACTTGCAACCTTCCTTAGGGACATCATGAGACTACATTTTCGTCCGATATGTTGCCAAAAGCAGAAAACAGGTTGCCTAACTCCTTGACGCTACATGGTCAATCAGTAGCCTAAAATGAATTGTCGGAGCGACATCGTGTGTAAGACATGCGTTAATAGAAAGACTATATGAGGATGTAGCCGGGCCCGTGGTGATTTACGGCAGGTTCTCGTGGAGCATATTTGGCCTAATAGGCCTATGCGGTGTACTAATGTACGCTAACAGTGCGGAAAGTTGGGGTGGGTCTTTGTTTGCGTTCTTGGCGCTGGTATTCCGGTCACTGTGCGATGGCTCCGCAGGTGTCCTGCGGATGCGTGCTGTGCGCAAGTGCGGTGACAATGAGGGCAAGATAGATCTGGAGGCGCCCAGTCGGTGGGGGTTATATTGATGATACTGGTAGTCACGCTTGTAGGAGAGCTGGGGTAGGGATGTGTTAGTTATGTCATCATGGCGATGGATTCGCCTTTCGTGAATGCACATATGACCGAGTAGGCTCTTGCAGTGAGTTAATGCACGAGGGCTGTGGAGGCTGCCGTTTCTGTTGTGCGTTCATGCTCCAGGCACTATGAGATGGACTTGCAAGTGACCGATCGAGCCGATGCGTTAGGCAAATTTGCGATCGCAATGAGGGCAGATTAACATCGAGTCCGCATTGCTGGTGGGAGGGATGGTAGTGGTAGTGTTGTAGCTGGCGGGTTGCCAGAGATGGTCTCAGCGGCGGTGTGGGTGAGGGAAATGGTATCAATGCTGGTCGCTGCTGTTTTCGAGGGCTAGTTGCTGTCTCGACACTAGAAGTATGCCCAAATCACAAGTCTGGGGAGACGGGATTAATTGGAACAACTTAACTGAGCTCAAGTAGCCTTACAGTAGCTGCTGCAAGCGGCGCGTACAGAAGCTAGTCGAGTCGGTGTGAAAAGTGTCTATGCGCGCGGGTTTAGCCGAGCCTGAGGAGGTAAATACGCGCAGTACTACCGAATTCAGGCTGCCACAGTACCCTCCCTCCGAGACCGGAGGGCGGTGTAAAACGGCGCCGGAGTATATTCTGAAGTCTAGAAGAAATGTAAGACTAATCGATCAGGGAAGTGAACGTGAGGTTCACTGCGAGTAATGTGAGCGGGAGGAACAGTAGGGGAGGACGGAATGGTTGTTACGGTTGCGGAGGATGAAGTAGTAGATGGCTGTTGGGAAACTGAAGTATACGGGATGATGGGATTGCGGAGATGGAAGGGGAAGGAGCACAGGATGGAGGAACATGTGGTAGGGAATCAGCACAAGTTCGTCCTGGTGGCAGGTCCGGCGGCTCCTCCGCAACAGCAACCTTGGCCCGATCGATGCTGATCACGTCCTCCTTGTCTCCGCGAAGGATCCGGCAGGTCTTGTCTTTGCGTAGAGAACACGGGACGGTCCTTCGTAGGGTGGT